GAAGTAAGGTGCCATCCTCTTCTCTCCCTCCTCCGGCCGCAGTCGCTGGGGGATAACGGGGAGCTGCGTTCCTCTCGTTCTTTACCGCTTAGGGGGAGAGGTTGTGTGGGGAGGGGAGTGGGTTACGTGGTGCTGAGGGGTTAAGGGGGGATGGATTAACCCTCTCGGTGCTGGCGTGGCTGAGCTCGTCCTCTCTTCTTCTCCCTACGGGGGTAAGGGCTGTTCGTATCCCCCTGGCCCTGGATCTCTCCCGGGGGGAGCTCTGTTGGGCCTCAGCCGCGGCCTCCCCCCTCACACAGCATCCCTCTGCAGCCTGCCTGCCCCTCTGCCTGCTGCTGGCTCTTACTGCTGTCCCCAGGCCCTTCCCCCGAGTGCTCGGTGAGGGCTGGCAGAGCTCAGCCACCAGCCAGGTGATTCTGGCCTGGACCCAAGCCTCATCCTTCTCTCGCCACCCGGTGCTGCTGGAGAGCTGGGATGCTGCCCTTGCAGTGTGTCTCTGTTCGAGCCCTGCCCGCTTGGGAAGCGCTAGGCCGCCTGCCCAGTTTGGTTTGCTGGTTTCTTTGCGCACCCACCCCCTCCGTGTGTTCGGGAAGCAACAACAATGTTGGAAAAAGGTGCTGGGATATAACCATGGAAACGGAAAGCCTCCACAGAGCTGCCTCTGTCTGCATGGCAATGGGCTGTCCTCACCCTCTGTGTCTGCCAGCGTGCTTTGATTCTGACGTGGCAGTCACCTGCTTCTGGGACAAAGGAGTAGTTCATTCTTAAGGGCTGCTTTCCATGAGGCCAGTTAAACATTGCTATAGGAATTCTGCACCTGACTTCCATTTGGGATGTGACCCTTCTTAGAAGAATTTAGTGAGGTCAACTCTGAGGCTTAAATTTGTGTTCAGTGAAACAAACAACTGTGGCAGCTTGATGTGTTAACTGTTCCCAGTTGTCAGCCTGCCTTAGACCAGGGGTTGCCCCTCACGCTGCAGCCCAGGCTGCTTGTGGTGGTTGATTCAGCTGATGCACTGTACCCTCAACAGAGCTACTGGCCCCTCTGCCATTCCGGAGCTTTTGCTGGAGGAACAGGTGCTTGTTGGCAGAAGGGAAAGGCGAATGACTGAGGATGGTAACACGTAAGCTGACAAAGATAAAAGGCTTCTCCAGCTTTAGGGATTAGAGTCCCTAATGTGGCTGCTGTTATGTTAATACAAGATACCTGCTGTATCCATGCAAGGGTATTGCACTGGTTTTAATCAGGTCAGTTTCTAATTGAGAATTAAGGATTCAGTGCATACAACATGGGTTAATGAAGTCTAGTGGCAAGAAGAGGAAGTTCCTTTTGATCACATTTTTGTGAGAGATGTTTAAGCTGCGGTTAGACCTTCAACAGCTGTGTTGCATAAGGCAGCCTGAGCAGTTCCTGCTTCAACAGTCCTTCCTCTGTTGTGTTACTTGTGGTGAACCAAATTAGGGAACTGATCCAGCAGAAATGCAACACAACATTAAAAAAATATATAAGTAGTCTCGAGATCTTGATCAGTTCAATTGACTAGATTTGCCGTCTGGCTACGGAGACAGCAGTGGCTGTGCCAGCACACTGAGGAGGGAACACAAGGCTCAGAACCAGCAGCCAGTACTACTTAAGGTGCTATTGCCAGCAAAAAAACCCCAAACAAACAAAAAAACCCTAAAAAAAAACCCCAAACCCAACCAGACTGATTTTGTCTGCCAAGCACTGGCATGAGGTTAAAGACAGTTGTGGTAAATCAGTAAATTTACTTGCATATTGCGCTTCTGCCTTGAGCTGTAACACTGTGACATCGTGTCTCTTCTCTCATCTTGTTTGCAGTGTTTTGATGACCTATGATCACATAGAAATTACCTTCAGTGATATCGAACCTATGCCAGATGCCTTCAAAGGGACCAAGAAGGGGAGTGTTTTCTTGACTCCCTACCGAGTAAGTAGTAAAAGACTTTATCTTGTGTAAGGAGATAAGGGCTCTTTGCATTTCAGTATTTAAATGTCCTCAATGCATGACAGTCAGGATAATCTACTACCCCTTGAAGTATGGCTCATCCTTTCCCTCCGGGGAGCTTTATAAATTCATTGCATATCCTATCTATTTGTCAAAAGATAATAAATCTGATTACTCCTTATACAGGCAGCTGTTTATTCCATCAGGCATCTTCAATATTGGAAATTAGCAATGGTCTGGAAATGCCGAATGCGGCAGCAGAGCTACTAAATCATAGCTATGTGGAGCAGTGAGTTCTCTGGAAGCTGGGAGGAGTATTATCTGAGCAAGGGTAGTCTTCCTGGAAGGCTTTATTGCCTTGAGACTTCAGTTTACCCTTGTGGCTGTTCTGTGTAGCTTTTGGCTTGCAGAACTGACGAGGAGCTTCAGATGTGGGAGGAAGTTTCAGTTCATCAAAAAGTCTCTTCAGATAGTAGTTCGGGGCTGTGTTTCCTGTTTGTTTTAAATACCCTTTGTAATGTTGTTTCCTTTTCAGGTTATCTTTGTATCGAAGGGAAAGGATGCTATGCAGTCTTTCGTGATGCCCTTTTATTTGTTGAAAGATTGTGAGATTAAGCAGCCTGTCTTTGGAGCAAATTATATCAAGGGTACAGTTAAAGCAGAAGCAGGAGGTATGTATAGTACAGATGTATGTTCTGTATCTTAGTTCAGCCACACAATTCTTAGCAAAGTAAGTATCCAGTGTAACAGAAAGTGGATACTGACTAAATGGGGGTTTACAGTACTGCTAAAATATGTTTCTTTGAAACTAGCAGCTAAAAATATTCCCCTTATCTACTCCCTGTACAGTTACAATGAACAGATCTGTTCTGCAACCAATCTCATTCCTGCCCTCTCTGCAAAATACTAAGTTCAGTCAGCCAAGTGATCTCACCAAGTAAACATCGGAGCAGAGTCAGCAGGAGCGCGGATATTTGCTTTTGGTCGGTTGGGGTTACCTCTTAATTCTGCATCCAGGCCCTCCTATGCCAAAGACTTGTGATCCTTTCTGGATCTGTTTGGGTTCACCATCATCAATTTCTTGTGCAATTCAAGGAAAGGCATGCTATTGCTACAGTGTATCTTAGTGGTAAAAATGACACTTGGAAGAGAATGGACTGTCTTGAAATTCGGGAATCTTCAAGGGGCAGTTTCAATGTTCATTGAGAAGTTTGTGGTAGACATTTTCAAGAATAATTTTTTTAATCACTGTTTTATGCTTCCCCCTTTTACCAAAGGCATATAGTTCAGTAAACCCTTTCATTCCCAGCTTGATTTAATCAATTAGTTGTGGCACTGAAATCACAGTGCAGTGCTTAGGAGACAAAACAGTCTATAATCCTGAAGTCAGCGTTGTAGCTTCTGTATGGGAGCAAAGTGGGACTATCTGGTGTACAAGGAAGCTCGAGCAGTAACGACAAACTCTGTAAGCTGTGTGAAAGGCAAATGGCTTTAGCTAAATCTTTGTGAGTTTTCCCCAGAGGCTGTCTCCTTTAATGAGGATGTTGCTTTAACAGCCATGAGAGTCTGGTTTAGCTCAAAAGGCTCTTTAATCTACATGTCCCTGTTTCAGCACTGACACAGCTTCTGCTTTGATGCATTGTTGGGTATCTGGGCTGTGCATGTTTTTCTTTTTTAGTCTGTAATATGAGATGTCACTAATTTTTTTTATTATTATTATTATCTTGACTTGAAATATCTTCCATAGACTTGAATGGATTTATGTGGACCGTGTTTTTCGTTAAGCTCTTTGCTTCATTGGGTACTCAAACTCCCAAAGTAATTTATAGCTGACAGTTAGGTGTAGTTGCAAAGGATTTTTAGCAAACAGGATTAACAAAATCCCTGTCTTCTGTGCTAATCGTATACAAAGCTAGAGCAAATCCAGCACTGCTGATAGCTTGGTCTGTCAGCAGCTAGTGTGGTAACAGGCACAACTTGAGTAAGCTTTTGAATGTCTCCCTTATTGATGTTTCTTCTTCAGGTGTCTCTTGACCTGAAAATACTGCCCAATGTGAATTTTCCTGATAATAGGGCAATTCTGCCACATTATCTGCATGGTTTTTTTTCTTGGATATTTGGGATAAGCTCTTTAAAGAATTAAATGCAGAGCATCTGTAGATAAAGCATGGAAACTAAATGGCATCAAAATGGCTTCTCCTTGCTTCTGAATTCTGTCTTTCCTCCCTGCAGGTGGCTGGGAGGGATCCGCCACATTCAAGATGACCTTTTCGGCTGGGGGTGCTATCGAGTTTGGGCAGCGCATGCTGCAGGTGGCATCACAAGGTATGGTAGTCTGGCAGTGCCTGCCAGATAGTTCTGGTGTTTCAGGAGGCCATGCCTTCATCTCGCAGCATGGGCAGCTTTAGGTTGCAACAGGTTGGATTCAAATCCATGCGAGTTTCAGGCTGTATCTGGAACTTGCTTGCTTTAAAAAATACTTTTTTCACATCCAATGAACAGCAGATTTATTGGGATGGAGCTTGCTTGTTTTTCAGATAAGGATTCTTTAAGTTTGTTGGGGGTCTTCACCTGCATTTGATGCAGGCTTGATGTTTTTGATGAGGTCAACTCTATCTTCACTTTTCCAGTCTCCAGAGGTGAAATACCCAATGGAGCTTATGGCTATTCCTATATGCCCAATGGATCCTATGCTTTCGCACCAGCTGCAGCTAATGGGGGCTATCCATACCCACCACCTCCTCCTGGTAAGTCTGGGAATTGAATTTGGGGATTGTTCTAGTTAGCCAGAGTAAAATAAGTCAAAAGGGGAAGAAACGCACATTTTACATAGTCTTTTAGATTGGATCTGATGCCTTGTGCAACTTTTGTTTCTGAGCTTAATTATATTTGCCTTTGGCTTGTTTTGGCTGTATGCTGTGACCCACCCGAAGGACTTAAGTCTTCTGCTGTGCTATTTCCTTTCCTGACAGAGTTTTATTCTGGCCCTCCTGTGGTGGATGGAGACATGGGTTACATGCAGCTTCCACCCCCGCCGTACCCGGGGCCCATGGAACCCCCCGTCAGCGGTCCAGACTTGCCCGCCACTCCTGCAGGTAAGAAACGTGTTCAGGTGCATTAGCTCACAATGAATTTGTTACCCATAAAACAGACACAGTTTCGTGTCTGCTATCTCTTGGGGAACTTAGAGCCAGCTTAGAAGCTCCACTTAGAAGTTAAAATTGTTTAGGAGAGGGATTAGGGAGCTCCCCTAATCTCCAGCCTTGTATATCCAGCTCAGTCTGGAGGCCAGCCTGATTGTCTCCAGGGTGGATACCATTAGTGGATATTTTGCAGCTGGATTTATTGTTGTGGCAGAAAAAATACAATTTGTGATTCTCCTATTGTGGTAACCTGGCTCTGTTAGATGAAGAAAAAGAAATTGATGGTGAAATATGTTTCTCTAGTCCATTTTAGTTAGCAATTGCAGCTTTGCTGATATTCGTTCCCCCTTCCCGTTTCACTGTAACCTGGTTGCTTTTGCTCTAACAACATGGAACTGAGGAATAGGTAAGGGAAAGGAGCTGGGGAAACATCAGTCTCATTTTCACTCATTTGGGATTTATTGAAATGATTTCAAACATGGTCTTAAAAGGACCGCATGTGGGGGAAAAAAATAGCTTTTGTGATTGGACACAACCATAGAGGTCTCACAGATAAGGATATTTCTCTGGGTAAGGATTTATCTTCTCTTTTTAGTTTGAATAAACAACCAATCATCTTTGAACTATCTTTTTGAAAGTGGCACTGATCCAGATGGTTGTACAAGATTTCTGTATTCTGCAGAAATAGAGGATCTGGATTATCTTAATAAATTACCATTTTTAAAGTATGAATCCCCTGAACTGCTATAAACTTGTGCTAGGTTTTGTTTTGTTTTGTGTTTTCACTCCCAGGAAGGATGATTTGTTGCCTGCCTTTTTAAAGGGTATTGTCTGTATTCAGGCAAAATAGAACAGCTGTTAGCATTTATTTGTTGGCTAACAGGCCAGTCCCAGGTGACGTTTCCAAACTAAATCTTGGTCTGTTTCACTTCAGAGTTGACAATCCTGTGGCAACTGGAAGAGATAATGTTCAATTGTTGTGTTTGTTGTAGCTATTTTGCAACTCAAGCATTTGTCAAATAGTGCTCTGTTAGTACCACTTGATGGCCAAGAATATGTGGAGGTTTTGTTTGATTGTAAAAGTTCTCTGCGTGTCACCAAATCTGTAACTTCTCTTTCTGTGACAGCTGAAGCGAAGGCTGCTGAAGCCGCTGCCAGTGCTTACTACAGCCCAGTCAACCCACATAACGTCTATATGCCCACGGTAAGTTCCTGTATCTTTCTGGTACTGCACTGTGAGCCCAAGTGTGTATTTAGCACTTCTTTTTCTCAGTGAGACAGCAAAGCTTGTCTGAATTGGTTTTGGTGGGGGTTTTTTGTGTTTGTTTTTTTTTTTCTTAGCCATGAATTTATGTCCTTTTATTGTCTTTATTTCAGGACCAGCCACCCCCTCCTCCATACTTCCCACCAGAGGACAAGAAAAACCAATAAGCTAACACAGACCTTCTCCACAACTCATTGCTTTCTTACTTCCCATTTTGGCAGAATCTTGGGGCATGGTCCATGGCACTGAGGAGTAGAACCTCCTTCCAAGGCATGTAGCTTTCATGGGCTCTAGTGGTAGATTTGTGCAGAGCAAGGGGAGATTTCAGCAGCCTGGGTTACCTGGTAGAGCTCTGAGGGTTTGCTGTCCTGCTGCAGCATTCCCTTCTCCCTGTGCGCTGCATCGCTAGAACTGGAGGTTCTCTTCATCTGTAACTGTTTCCCTTAACGTCTGTTTCTTTTGATACTTTAATTACACCTATCTAGAGTAAACCACTGCTCCAAACTGATAATTAACGTGCTTATAACATGGAAACAAGGCTCTTGCGGGGATGGGGGCGTGTCTTGAATTTACCTGAGTGTGCATCTCTGGGTACAGGGATGTCTCTGGGTATTCCTCTCAACCCAGAGTATCACACCCAACTTTTCCCTCTGCTACTGAGAAAGGGCTTCAAAGGGAACCTGTGGGATCTCAAAGGAAGTAGATATCTATTACACTTTTCAGATATCTGTTACACTTTCTTGGGTTTTTTTAGCTGAGACATTCCTGACAATCGCAGCAAATAATCTGGTAGCCCTCCAAATTTTCCTGCTGTGCACTGCGTATGATGAGAAGCTTCCCTTAAGAAAACATACTGCTCTTTACAGGGTTGGTTAGTAGTGTCTAGCTAGTTACAGATCATATGGGAACACTAACTTTCTGTTGTCTTTTTTCCAGTTAGATATGTGGGCTTGAGATCACAAAGTCCTGAATATTCTCTTTATAGTCTATAATGCACTTTTTTTAAAATTTGCTGTAACACAAGTTACAGTCTTGGCCAGTGAAGCATCTTACTGCTGTGATTTAACTGGTGAATTAATAGCTAACGGGGAGGAAAGAGTTGCTTTACTTATGCCCTGGAAGCACTTGAGAGAGTATGCAAAACGTTGGGATAAGCTGCTAGGGATAACTGAGCTGCTCATTTGAATGTCGTTTAATGCTGTTAGTGTTCCTGGATCAGCTGTGAATTTATTTCCCAGTAACTTGAACTGGGCTTCTTGGACTGAAGGTTCAAGTGTTTTCCTTCCATAGCCTTGATTCGTTGATCTCATTAGCAGCGACTCTAGTATGCAGAACCTCTACAGGACTGATCACTAACGTGGTTGTTAAAACTTTGCATTGTACAAAGCTTTGCAAAAATCAGACTTCACTGACTTCTGACATTGTCTGTGAGAGAGAAAAATCCTTCCCAGCAAGTGTGAAGAAAGACCGTGTGCTAGGAAACTGCTGAGACTTGCTGCATGCAGCCTGCTCGGAGAGAAAAAAGGTCCATCTCTTGTTTTCTTTTTGTTCGAGTCTAGCTGATTAATCAAATTGCTACTGTCTGTGCACTGACTTTTCTAGAATTGCTACTGCAGTGATATAAAGAAATGGTTATTTAAAAAATATATTTATTTTGAAAATGTTTGATTAATATATTAATGTGAAATGACTTTTGAATGCAGATTTGTTTTGCCAAGACTGTGAAGTAAAGAGAAATCAGCTCAAAACTTACGGTGTTTGTGTATTTGTGAGTGGGCATGCCTGCTGGTGACTTAGTAGCTTTGGATGGGGAGAGGGAGAATTAAACAGCAGCAAAATCACTTGGGTTTTGTTCTTGGCTAGCCATTGGTGACATTAGTCACTTGATTTCTCTTGTGAAATGAAAACAAGATGTTAAAATCTTTTAACAAACGCCCATTTCGCAATTCCTGTTGTAAACCGGTGAGGCGACTGCTTAACACTTTACCCAGATGTGTTGCCTAGATGGTTTTTTCAGACCAGTTATCCCTGTAAAAGTTGTAACCTATTGCTAGAAGTAGTCGAGGGATGCAGCATAGTTGTTGCCTCTAAAATCTGTCTCTAATTAGAAGCAATCCATAATTTTATCCTTTTTTTTATTTTTTTTTAAGTGTACTAAGATGTAGTAGTGGTAGTTCTGCTCCAGTAGGTCTGAACTCCCTGAGGTGGTGTGGTTTGCCCTGGTAGCTCTGCTCTGGCAGCATGAACAGCTCCTCTGGGCTGAGGAGCACAGCTGCGCTCCAGCAGCAGTGTGAGAGCTGTCACTCCTTGAGTGTGAGCAGGATGAGGCTCACGGCTGCCCAGAGAGGTTGTAGAGTCTCCTTCTCTGGAGATACTCAAAACCCACCTGGTTGCGATCCTGTGCAACCTGCTGGAGGTGATCCTGCCTTAGCAGGGGGTTGGACGAGATGATCTCCAGAGGTTCCTTCCAACCCCCACCAGTCTGTGAATCTGTGAGAGGAGGTGTGCCATGCAGGATCTGGTCCTGTGGTTACCGAGATGAGGTGAGTCTCTCCGGTTTGTGCTGACGTGTCAAACAGAAGGTATTCAGCAGCTGCTCTGCAGGTAACATCCAAACCTTGCTCAGCTTCATTCCTCTTCCCAGCTGCCACTAGCTGCCTTAATTTTCTTGAACTCCCTGATCAGCTGGGGTGGACATCTTCCAGATTCTGCTCTCCTTTAACATCCCTTTAGACTCTCGCCCTCTGACATGGCTGTTTTACTGCTTTTTAGGGCTGGTTCAGCCACTTGGGTCTGTTTGCTGTAGCAAAACGTGGGTGGAGAAGGAAAGCATTAAGACATAAAATGTTATCAGCCCACTAAGAACCTAATAAATCCTGTTTTGTGAATTAAATTACTTCAAATGGAGGTTTCCAGAATCACATCAGTCCAACTGTAAGATGCTGCAGAAACCACTCTGTGCTCCAGGGCTCCTGCTCTATTTTAAAGTGGCTCCTTCCCAGTTACCCTCTACTCCCAGACAGAGAATCCTAGAAAATAGAGATTGCATGAAGTTTCCGAGTCTCTTGCCGTGCAGCTCTCACACAAACAATCAGCACAAACCCACAAGTTCTTTAAATCCTTCCGCAACCAATTGTGCTTGAGAGAATAAGTATTTAGATATCTGCTCTGATGAGAACTTGGCTCTGTGGTTCAAGCTGAATCTTTCTTCCGCTAGCGCAGACAAGTAATATCTGCAGAGAGACCATGAGGTTGGCTGCCTGGAAAAGGAAAATATGTTGAGAGCATGAGTCAGGCTGGAATAAATGAAATATTCCTCTCCTCACCATGGGTGTTAGTGAGCTAAATCAGTGACTTTTGAGCTGTGAGCTTTATTCAATGGTTTGTTGGTGAATGTCCCTGTTCCTCTAGGCTAGAGCTTGGCATGGTCTATGGGGAGGTGAGAAGGAGCAAGTAACACCAAAGAGATTCATCGTGGTGGCCTCGGTGAGTTTGGAGGATGCTGGTGAGAAGTGAAGCGTATTTTGGGAACGCTGAAGCTGTGGGGCCAAAAGGCTGGGCGAGTCACGCAGTCAGCAAGGCTCATGCAGGTATTGGGTTGAGTGGAGCAGCAGGATTCAGGAGGGTGCAGGTTTTGGCCAGATAGATGCTGGTGAGAATCCCTGAAAACCCGCGTTTGGCTTACATACTCAGCGCTCGCTGCCATCTCCCTGATGGGAACCGGGAGCTGTGCTCTGCGCTGGAAAGGGCTTAGGGAGGCTGGAAGGGTCAGCTGGTCCTGCTGCCCACGTGGAAGATTTTAAATATTAAAGCAGGGAAGTGCAATTGAAAGTCCACTTCTGCTCTGGAAGTGGGGTGGGAGTAGGGCAGGAGGAAATGTTGTGCATTAATATGTCTCCAGATCTGGTTCCTGCTTGAATGATTAATCAGCTCTGCAGCAGAAAGGCTGTCATGTGAAACCTACATTGGTACCATTAAATTCCAGTATTTGGATGGTATTATACTGATGAAGAAAAAGAGGGGGCGTAGGGAACGGTTAGTGTTGGATCCAGTTAATCTTTTGGCATAGACAGGGTTTCTACCACCATGTAGAGTTCTGCCTCCTTGATGTGGCTTTGGCTCTTCACTTGAGGAGTCGCTCACTTCACCTTGTGCCTGCTGCCCCGCTCTGAATACGGGCTACTTCCCTCCTTCACGGGACTGTGGTGTAACTAGGTATTTCTAAAGTGCTTTGAGATCTTATGCAAAAAACTGTTACTGCAGGTACTGCTTACAGATTTCCTACTATCAGCCCTGAAATCTTGCTGATATCCCTGGGGGCTGGTGAAGGTCGGGACACGCGCATGCTTGCCCAGGATTGCCTCCAGCCGAAGGAAGAGACAGAGCCCTCCTCCTCCTCCAACCATTCTGCCCAGATTTTACCTTGAACACTCCTGCTTCATGCAGCCTATTAAAAAAAAAAAAAAAAAAAAATTAAACCAAATCATTATTTTGCATTAATTCCTTTATAGCTGGAGGGGATGCGCTGAGGGACCGTGGCTCAGCCAGTCTGGCCAGCGCCCGCCTGCTCCGTGAGCGGTTGATGGTCAAATTGCATCTTTGCTGCGTGATGGACAAGGTGATTTATGAGCTACAGCTTGCAGTGCCGGCTCCCTTCGCAAGCACCGCTGGAGGTGGCAGGAGGCGTGGGGCGAAGTTCAGACCCAGCTGTTCCCGGAGCAGCCGGGAGCAGGGCCAGCCCTCACCAGTGAGCAGCTCGAGTTGGCCGATGCGGTCGCATCGCAGGCACCTCCAGCTGTAAACAGCTGCCAGGTTGGTATTAGAAGATGGGTTTTGCTAAGATAGGCTCTGATCAAGAGGTGGTTTCAGGTTGAAAGCTGTACAAATAAGCCCAAGTGACAAATGTGGGGTTTTTGTGGGTTGATATGAAATGCCAGGATGTGCAGGGCAGAGATCTTAATTTTAGGCAGGGGTTTTCTTTGCGGCAGTACCGGGTATTACTCACCCATCTGCTCTCCTGAGTCAGCTCAAAGAGTTGCCATCATGAGACTGAACTGGAAACCGGTATTTCAGCACCCTCCTTGCTCAAGGGCCATCACTGTGCCGCTGAGAGAGGCCACAACGGGATGTGAACAGACCCACGTAACAGCGAGCAGGACCCGGGACTCGTACCTGCCGTCGGGGGCTGCTGGATCCCACGCCTCAGGGGGCCAACGGAGCGGGACCCGCCTCTGCCGCGTCCTCCCAGCCACCCGCCTGCCGTTTCCTGCACGTTTCCTACAGTCTCCAGGTACCGGAGCAAAAGGTATCAGCTTGGACTCCATTTGCAAGCTTGGTTCAGCAAATCCTGTCTTTCTAA